CATCTTTCAAACAAGATGTCAGACTGAGGGCCTGGGTAAACATAAAGAACCCATAACATTGCTTTGAAGAAGAACATGGCATTTTCCTAGTGTCCTGGCCGATACTTACTTCTCAACAGACACCACTGAAAGCACAAAATGGAGTCATTCAGCACTTATGGTAGAGGTTGTGAATTTGGAAGGTGCTATCATAGGAGCCTGGGTGATTTGTTGCATTACATCTGGAAGATGGTGTGAACTGCAGCTACTGTGCCTCACTTGTGAAGGGAGGTGAAAGGAGTATCAATCAAATGGGCTGCTTTGTAGACCATAAGAAGTAGGAACAGGAGTGTGCTGCTCGGCCCCTCAAGTCTGCACCTTCATTCAGTGGGACTGTGGTTGATCCAACATTCCTCGCATCCGCTTTCCTGCTCTTTTCCTGTAATCCTTGATTCCCCTACTGAGCAAGAATCTATCTGTTACAACCTTAAATATGCACAAGGATTCTGTCCCTATATCTCTCTGTGGTAAGAAGTTCCAAAAACACTTAACCCTCTGAGAGAAGAAATTTCTTCTCATCTCCATCTTAAATTGGCACCCCTTAATTCTGAGACTATGCCCTATGGTCCTAGACTCTCCCATGAGAGGAAACATTCCTTCAGTATTTACCACATCAAGTCCCATGAGAATCTTTTATGTTTCAATAAGATTCCCTCTCATTTTTCTAAATCCCACTGAGTAGAAGTCCCAACCTGTTTAGCCTGTGCTGATAAGACATCCCTCTATATCATGGATCATCCTGGTGAGCCTTCCCTGAACAGCCTCCAATGAAATTACCTCTTTCTTTAAATAAGACAATCAAAACTGCTCACAAAACTCCTAGATGTGGTCTCACCAGAACTTGTAAAGTTGCAGTAAGATGTCTCTGCGCTTGTACTTCAGCCTCCTTTACCCTAGATTATATCAACCTTCTTGAGCTTATTGGAGGTGCACTCATCTAGGCAAGTCAAGAGCGTTCTTGTGTCCTGTAGATGGTAGGTAAGCAAATGGATAGATAGGAGGTGAGTTAGTTGCCGCAGAACTCCTAATGTCTGACCAGTAGCCACAGTAGTTAAAAGGCTGGTTCAGTTCAGTTTCTGGTCGTTGGTCACCCCTGGGATATTGTTGGTTGGGTGATTAAGTTATGGTACTGCCATTGAACATCAAAAGAGGGCAGTGGTTAGATTTTCTCTTGTTGGAAATGATCATTACCCGGCAGTTTGTTTTAATTCACTCGCAGGATGTAGGCATCACTGGCTGGGGTAGCATTCATTACCCATCCTTAATTGTCCCAAGGACAGTTGAGAGTCAACCATACTGCAGTGGCTCTAGAGTCACATTGTAGGCCACAACAGGTGAGGATGCGGTTTCTTTCCCTAAAGAACATTAGTGAACCAAATGGGATTTTCCTGACAATCAACAATGGTTTCACGGTCATCTTTAGACGTTTAGTTCCAGACTTTTTATTGAATTCAAATTCTAGTGTCTGCCATGGCAAGATTCCAACCCAGGTCCCCAGTCTGTTACCTAGATCTCTGATTAATAGCCACGAAGCCATTACCTCCCCCGCATGGGGCACAAATGTTGCTTTGCCACATCAGGCCAAACCTGAATGTCATCCAAATCATGCTGCTCCGGCATGTAAGGTGACCTAAATGGTGCTGAACATTGCAGTCATCAGCAAACATCCAACTTCTGATCTTATGCCAAAGGGATAGTTATTGATGGGCCAGGCGGTGGCTTGGAGATATTATCAGTAGACTATAATGTGCTGTGGACCCAGGTTCAAATCCCATTATGGCAGATAGTGGAATTGATGGCAATGAAACCATTGTCAATCGTCAGAAAAACCTTTTTGGGTAATTAGGGATGGGCAATAAATGCTGGCCTAGCCAGCAACACCAACATCCTGTGAACAAATAAAAAAATGCTGAAGATGTTTGGACCTAGGACACTACCCTGAGGAACTCCTGCAGAATGAGTCCTGGAGTAGAGATGATTGACCTTCAAAAATATCAACATCTTCCTTAATGCTAGGTATGACTCCCAGCAAGTAGAGAATTCTCCCCCGAATTTCACTGACTAGTTTTGCTAGGGCCCTTTGAAGCAAGACCCCATCAAAGGCAGTCACCTTACCTCTGGAGATATTTGCCTATATTTGGACCAGGGACATAATGACATCAGGAGCCAAGCAGCAATGGCAGAACCCACCCCGAGTGTCATCGAGTAGATTAATTATTTGCAAATGTCACTTGATAGCATTATCTTTGACTTTGACATATGTGTAGACTGATAGGGCAGTAGGTTGGATTTGCCCTGATTTTCAAGAGTGTAACTTTTTGTTTTGTGTCTGCAAATACTCGTATATTTGAGAATTTGCAATTCAAACTAGAGAAAGTATTCCTTCTTGCGTCATTTTCTGCAAGTCATTTTGTAAACCATGCGAAGTTATTTTCTAGTTCTTCTACTTGATAGTTGTTTAGGTAGATAATGCATCACCATACTTTTCTTTCACATTTTGTATAATAGTGTGGTATGTGTTCATATGGTAGTGGAAACTTTTCTCACATCTTCTAAACTTAACTAGTACCAAACAAAGATCCAGTGAAAATATATTGTGGGTGTGAATGTCATTAGCTGTAGAAGTCTGCTGAAAACACTCCTGTTGTAAAAAGATTTGAGGAGTTATTGTATATTAATATCATTTTAATTTAGTGAAGTGTTAAATCAATTTAAAACAAGATTTTATGAAACGACAGTCAGGGTTTTGCTCTGCACAGATTAAAGGTAAAGACAGTTAATTCTGCCAGATTTTCTATATAAAGATTTTTGAAGGAGTTGGTGAATAGCAAATCTGATGCACGTGACCAGTAACGAATTAGAAAAATTTGAAGTGCTTTGTCGGGCCAATCTAATGCAGTAGAACTTGCAGAAGTTGATTTCTTCAGATGTTCCCTGGTCTGTAGACTGTAACTCATGTGGGATGGTGTAAATGTACCTCACAACTGGGAAGGCAATGGCCTAGCAGTATAATAGCTAGACTATTAATCCAGAAACTCAGCTAATGTTCCAAGGACCAGCTTCGAATCCTGCCATGGCAGATGATGGAATTTGAATTAAATGAAGACAACAAATCTGGAATTAGAGTAGACTGATGACCATCAAACCATTGTCGATTGTTGGAAAAACCCAACTGGCTCACTAATGTCTTTCAGGGAAGGAAATCTGCTGCCATCACCTCGTTTGGCCACAGGTGACTCTAGACCCACAGCAATGTTGTTGACTCTAAACTAGCCTCTGAAACGGCCCAGCAAACTATTCGTTCAAGGGCACCGAGGAGTGGGCAATAAGTGCTGGCCAGTCAGTGACACCCACATCCTACAGCTGAATAAATAAAAAACTTTCCTCAGACTCTTCTCAGTCCTATTCTCAATCTCACACAAGAACACTTGGGGGAAAAAAATTCTAATTTTCTGAATTCTACTTGCATCAACCAAAATTGCACCCCTCAAACTGAAAAGGGCAAAAACAACATAGCAGGGCAAAGATGGATTGCAAAACTGCTGCTAATGATAGCATGGAAATGGAGGAAACAGGAGAAGAGTGGAAGATTGAGGCAGGGATGTGGAAGGAAGAAGTTTACAGTGCTAGGTAGGGGCACAGGGATTTGAGGATAAATGAGAATGAAAATCCACGCACTGAGAGTGTATTAGTCCACCAGGAGCAGGGTGATGGCAAATGAGATGTTTGAGAGAAAAGATTGATGAGTGAATTCAGGAGGTGATGGAAACTGGAGTATGGCAAAGAGTGTCTTAGTCACTGGGGAAAGGTTATGATTCAACACTTTGTACTTGGAAATAGACTGTTTTGATGAGGCAATGTTTGTGTGGTGTGAAACTCTGTTCGAGATTGAGCTAGACTGGAATAGGTATCTGGGAAAGAATGACTGCAGGGAGGAAAGTGGTGGCATGAGGTTTCTAGTTCAACATTGACCACTTCTATTAAAATGCAGTCCATTCAGCTCCTTGAGCCTGCTCTGACATTGCAGATCATCTATGTTAATGCTGTATTACTGTGCGATCTTTTGATATCATTTACAACTAGAAATCCATCAATCTCCACCTTGAACTTAATGACTGAGCTTCCACAGCCTTCCAGGATAGATAATTCTAAAGATTCACCACACTCTTGAGTGAAGAAGCTCTTCCTTGTGTGGGTCCTAAATGGCTTATCTTTTATTTAGAAACTGTGACCCTTGTTCTAGACTACAGCCAGGGGAAACATCCTTTCTGCATCTACTCTGTTCTGTCCCTTTAAGAACTTCATAAGATTTCCATAAGATTTCCTTTCATTCTTCTAAACCAGAGAAAACAGGCTCTGTTTCTTCAATCTCTCCTAATTGGACAGTCCCACCATCCCATAATCAGTCTAGTGAACCTCCATTGAACTCCTTAGGCAAGGGGATTAAAACCTCTTACCAATATTCTGTGAAAAGGCGGACCTCTTTTCTTACACTTGCAGAACATTTCCCATTATAGCTGCCTAATTTTTCCTTGTTAACTGTACTATTTTCTGGCAAAACCAGGCGTTTTTACTGAGAATATGAAATCAATAGGTAGCTGAAACCTTTCCAGAGCTGCAGTTTTCCACAGCTTGCTGAGTTTATTAGTAGGTCCAATCTGAGCTAGCTGTGAATACATAACACAGAAATTCATTCACTGAATGTTAACCCCTGCTTTGCTACTTTTGATTTTCCCACTTATTCAATCCTGTCCTGATAATTTTCCCCCTGATATGGCACCCCAGTTTCATATAGATAAGTCCATGGGGTCCAGTGTATCCAGCCTTGATTATCAGTCCCCTTCAGAGTGCAAAGCAGGAAAGTCACAACTGTATCCAGATCAAAAGAGTTACTTGTATCATCCAAATGTGTTCCTACCAGCCTGATGACTGCTTGCTGCACTGTCCTCATAGATTGACCAAGTCTCGTGTAGGGAGAGGTTACAAGTAATACTGGAGAAACAGAACAAAGACAAAATAAACTGTATTGCTATCTTCAGAAACACTACTTGGCTGATTGTTGATGTGTTTACCCTTTGCACCCAGGTGACCATCCTCGGCAGGACAGCATGGATTTCAGTAATGAATGGGGTGATCCCAAGAGCTGTAAGTGTGCAGAGAGACTAAAACCATTGGAGCGCAGGGCAGCTCGACAACATCAACGCTGTCTGGCACATTCCCTAGTGGGCACACCGAATTATATTGCACCAGAGGTGTTGCTCCGTACAGGTAAGGTTAATCATGTTAAAACCCACTTCTGGCCGAACATCTTGTCACCATCTTAATATCTTCCCATGTGGCTCGGATACAGATTTATTGGGATGTTTTGCTATGTTAAAGGCAAGTAGAAATCATCTGTTCCTTCTATCACCATATCATTATCTGTAGTTTGCTTCAGAAATGTCTCCCTTGCTGCTTGAACCAGTTAATTCTCCCTATTTCTGAAACAAACCTTCAAAAATTCCCTTTATCTATTGCAATATCCAAGGTAACAGAAAACTCCTAATCTATAAAATGAAGCTCAATTATTACCAGAGTGTTCAATGATATTGTTTACAGTAGATTAAATAGTCATTCAATAAAACTGATTTTTGCTGGGGTTCATGCTTCACATGAGCTTCCTCCTTACTGCACCTAACTCTAGTAATATCTCCTATTTGTTTTTCCTCTTATACTTGTCTACTTGAGGGGGTGAATAGCCAACTATTCCTGTGTTCCTAATTTCATACCAAATTTTAAAACTCTGTAATGTCTCCAAAGAATGACCAGCGGAACGGTGAAACCCAGTCATGCAGCAAATGGTAGTAATAAAATCCCTAAGAGGATTAAAGCATGCATTCCCAATTACTAAACCACATTATATTTTTGACCAAAACAAAGCTGGTTATCAAAATCTACCATGCCTCTAAATAATAAACCTAATATCTTCAGAGTATATCCTGAAAGTTATTTATAATTATATCCTGTTACAGGTCTAAAAATCATAATGATTGTCTTGTTATATCTGTAAAAATGTTCTAACATGAACAAAAAAAATTACACAGGTCTTTAATAAAAGTCTGAATAAAAAATAAGACTTTGATTTTTGACTTCTGGGTATAATGAGTAAAATCATTTGTACCTTACAGGTTACACCCAGCTGTGTGACTGGTGGAGTGTTGGTGTTATTCTCTATGAAATGTTAGTAGGACAGCCTCCTTTCTTGGCACAAACTCCGCTGGAAACACAGATCAAGGTAATGAATTAATTGTGTTGATCTCATTTATCTTATTTGCTGTGATGTCTGTTTCTTTACTTCTTTGAGTCAATTTAGAGGTACTAATTACATTTTTTTAAAGAGACGTGTATGCAAGTAGGGTAATACTGTCCTCCAAGCACAGCAGAAAATGGCTATTCTTCTAATTGTATCATCCCCATAGAGCTGCGCCTCCTGACAAACCTGGTTAACAGGTTTATAATAAAATGATCACCGGTAATGTAATTAGATGGCACCAGGATGGAAGACAGTTTAGTCTTTAAAATGTCTTTAAACAAAATTGTAGGTATTTTTAAAAAAATCCAGTAGTTCAGCAATAATCTGAATTATTGAATGTTAAGATTTCTGATTTGAATTATTGCCCATTCTTACAAAGGTCATAAACTGGCAGACAACTCTTCACATCCCACCCCAGGCTAAACTTAGCCCAGAGGCATCCGATCTCATCATCAAGCTTTGTCGAGGTCCAGAAGATAGGCTTGGGAAGAATGGCACAGATGAAATAAAAGCCCATCCATTTTTCAGACTCATTGATTTCTCCAGTGACATCCGGCACCAATCTGCTCCGTACATGCCGAAGATTACGCACCCAACAGATACGTCCAATTTTGATCCTGTGGATCCTGACAAGTTGTGGAGCGATAGTAGCAATGGAGAAAGTGTCAATGACACACTCAATGGCTGGTACCAGAATGGGAAGCACCCAGAACATGCATTCTACGAGTTCACATTCCGGAGGTTTTTTGATGATAATGGTTACCCTTACAGCTACCCTAAGCCATTGCAGTGTGATTATCTCAATCCAGAAACACCTGAATATCAAGAAGAAAATAACAGGGAAAACATTGCAATGGGGAAAGGGAGCCAAAATAGAGAGCTGGTTTACGTATGAAGTGAAAATCATTACTTTTTCTTAAAGCAGAGTGCCCCTCGTTTAATTCCCAGGGACAGATTTTAATTTTTATTCATGCTTTCAATTTTAGCTTAAGGGCTTACAGAAAGGTATATTTTGTAAGTATTAATTTATTTCTACATTGTAATTTGAAGCCTGTAGCAGTTACACTTGAGTTAATAGAATGCTGGTTTGAGCACCTAACACTAGAGTTGAATTCAGTTTCATCATGTGATCAGTAGTCGATCAGCAAAATTGTAATTGACTTTCTTCTTCACTTACACTAAGTCTTTATGATTACCTTAACTGCTCTGATGTTCTTGGGGAGCTTTATGTAGGTGAGTGCACAGTAGGTGCCTTTTTTCATTAAAAGTTTAAAGGAGTCATTTTGTGAGGCTCCAACCCCAGCAGAGAACCTTGCTTGAAGAGAATACAGCCCAAGGTAGGAATGCAATGAAGTGGCTGACTCTATAACCTGCACTTTGAAACAGTAATGCTGTATATTGGAGGTGAGGATAGAGATTCAATAATACAGGGCTAAATCTGTTTCTATTTAACAAGACTGCAAACTGGAGTGAATTTAGGGCTTTAACACTACAGGGCCCATTCTGGGATGTGCATTCAGAGTGAGGGTAGGGTTATAATACTACAGGGCCTATTTTAGATACATTTCTAGTCAGCCTATTCAGTGATGTTATTACACACCTCCAGAGCAGGTGGGACTTGAACCCAGGCCTATTGGCTCAGAGGTAGGGACAGTACCACTATGCCCCAAGACCCTACAAAGGGCCCATTCTATACACTCATTGTGAGTTGAGAGAGGTTACTTAACACAACAGGGCCCATTCTGTGGCTCATGCTCCTTTCCAGTCAAGTTGTCCCTGGGGTGTTGTGAACATATGTATCTGAAGCCTACAAAATGGTCTTTTATGCTGTGCCTTAAAACATCCTGCTTAGCTTTGACCAAATATGAAGAAATTAGTTTGATATACTTTATATGAAAATAATTTTCTTTTAGAAGTGTGTAGAACACAGGTTATTAGCTTTCTATTTTTTCTAATTTATGCATTGAATTTATTTATAAATTATACATGTATAAACATCTAATTTGACTTCCAGTGACATTAAATCTAAGATCATTTTCAAAGTTAATTGTTTTGCAATCTGTTAACATAACTGACAACAGTTTAGATTTAAATGAACCAATCTTGCACCACCACCTGCAAATTGCCTTTCAAGCTGCCTTGCAATTCCCTTCTTAACAGCACTGTGGCCATACCTTCTCAAGGAGAATTAGGAATGGAAAGTACATGATAGATTTGCCGATAACACATAAGTAAGGTCATCAAATAAAATTGCTTCTTCAAGATTTAAAAGATAGGTATGATTGCCTCACGTTTTATGGTAAGCGGTAACTACCACTGCGCGAGAATTCACCTCACAGGGCTGGTGAGATTTTTAAACTTCTGGCTGCAGCATGCCCTGCTGAAGAGAAGATCGACAAGAAACGCATTCTGGATGAAGCCACATCCTCGATCACGTCATTAAGTTGAAGATCCAATCATTCAAGTCAGCCTTTTGATAAAAAGGTGGGCGAGTGTTTAATAGAGCACTTTACAAAGTTTTTAATAACTTAAACAACTCCATTGAATTTTATTAAATTGTACCTATTATTTTAAAACAAAATGTTAATTTAACTTAGTGGCTTACCAGGCCACTTTGGAGTCGCATGAGGTCAGAGCAACAGATTTCCTTCCCCAAAGAGCTTTTGTGAACCCAGATAGGCTTTTTACAGCCCTGCCGATTGTTGTCATGGTCACTGAGACTAGTTTTATATTCCAGGTTTAGAAATTTAAGTTTCAACACCTGTAGCTTATCTTGTCTCCAGAGCATTAGCTTGGGCCTCCAGATTACTTGTTCAGCTATGTTACCACCATCCCCCACATTGATAACACAAGTTAACCTGTTAGTTTGTCAATTTTAAATCTGGACACACAAAACATACAGGTATGTATCTTCAACAATAAGTTTGAGATGCCTAGAAAAATTAAGATGTGGAAGGTTTGGAGAGGCTGTGACTGCAAACAGCAGCGTTCCATGATGCAAGAAATTGAAGGATTTTGTGCTATTCTTGATTTTCATTTTTAAAAGATTATGATGCAAAGACTTTGTTTTATGATGGGTTAGGTGATGTTTTCAAAGGAAACTGAATTTTAAACAAATTACAGGACTGGGTAAATGGTTAAGTATTTTCAAATGCATTTTTGTTCAGAAGAAGAACTCAATGTTAAGAGCATTTCATTGACTGTTGAGGAGGTGGATGTTCTGAAGGCTTGTAACGAGTATGAAGAGAGGGCAAGACAGTTGTGATAATGAATATTTACAAATTACCATCAGTGTTCTACTTAGGCTGTCGTATTTACACATTAATCTGTAGTCCTTCTGAAGTACCCAAAACAGGTTTAGCCAATAATAGTACTTGTCTTCAGATCATAAACTAAAATGACACCCCAGCACAGCATTGGGTTGTCAGTCTAAATTGTGCTCAAGTCTCTGAAATGGGACATTGACTCACAAACGACTAACACCAATCTTCACAACTTTCCTGTATTCATTCTCCCTCAGATATTAAGTGGGATTTATTTGAACTGTCACCTAGTGATCTAACCAACATTCCTACCCTCATGAAGTGTCCAGTAAACGTATACAAAACAAAGTGAAACAGATATTCAGTGCATATCCTGTCCATATCCTGTCCTCAGCATCTTATTAAAAGCACATCAGCTCAGTCTTGACTCACTCACCAGAGGTGGAGTAAAGTGCATAATGAGTGCAAAGCTGCCAAGACTGTCGTGCAATCCCCAAAGTTGTAGAAAAGCAGTGAATGAGAACATTTTGGGTGTATGATTTATTACAATTTTAAAAATAAAAAGCATTTCAGTTACATAAACCATTTCAAGTGCAATATCTGGTTCCAGCTTCTACCGTACCCACTCCCTTTCTCATTCCTCTCCCTATTTGGATTTTTTGGGACTTCTATTCGTTCTTTCTCGATGTCTGGACTTCTTACTCCGATTTCGCTTATGGTGATCTTTCTCTTGGGATTCACTCCTGCTCCAGCTGCGATATCGGTTCCGCTTTTTCTGACCTCTGTCTTTTTCTCTGCCATATTCCTCAATGGGAGAAATGTTTCTGTGCTGTTTAATTTCTTTGTCAGTTGTTGCCTATCAAGTCAAAAATAATTGTTCAGAAGATCCTACAGTAACTAATGCATTGATATCACAAGTTAATCTGTCAATTTTAAATTTATATGTAGAAAAAGTACATGTATATAAATTGTCAGAAAATGTGTTCCTTCTCAAAAAGAACTCACTGCTTCCAAATTTTATTCTCAACATCTTTTTCATTATAGCTCATTGAATGTTTATTTTAACTTAGTTAAGGACAAGGTTATTTCAAATCAATGGTGGCACCCTCAGCTAACAGGTCCACCGCCCTACATTTATTTACATTTCGTTTCACTGGATAGTCACACCACAGCTGAAGCCAAATTGCTATCAAGGCTACCTAATTTGCTCATTCCCCAGTTTTATTTCCAATTCCGTGCACAGCTACTGCTACACACAACTGCTCAGTATCCCTTTACTTCATCATCTGTCTCTCTCTTAATCTGCCTAATGTGTTTCAACACAAACCCATCCCATACTTGCTACTTAGACTGTGTAGTCCCTGCCTTTTGCCTTGCTATAAATCCCGTCCTGATTGCTTCATTTCACTTTTCGCTCAGCAACAGCCGGCAATAATGGAATTCTGAGAACAAAGCTAACAACAGGCCAAAAGTACAATCAAAGCCTGAGAGGGCTAGACATAACAAGGTCCTTACCTCCATGCCACTGCATTTGTTAATTAAGTAAATTCAGAATTAATGAAAGTTGTGCTCATTGATTAGAAAATAACAAGCAGGTCCCTGGAATTTCCCCTCATGTGCTTAAAGTACTGTGCACAGTTCTGTTCTCCATAAGAGAATGAGGGACCATGGATGGTGTGGAGAAAACTTAGAAGGATGAGACCAGAACTGAGGGGTTAAAGCCGTTCTGACAGACCCTCAAATTTGTTCTCCTTCAGAAAAAGGGCCAAAGGGAGACTAAATAACGTATTTTAAGATCATATCTACCCTGTCAAATGCCTTTATAGGGATAATGTTTCCACTTCTGGAATAATTCAATACTAGGAGCCCTATAAAATCTGGAATAGACATGTTGAACTAAGGGCCCATTTCTGTGCTGTCTTTTCTATATTATTAGCACTGGATGCTCCAAATAAGCGGCACATTCTTGAAACTGACCCAATAGTGCATCGTCCCACAAACCACCATGTACTCTTTGGGAGGCTGCTAGCTAAATCCAGGCAGAAGCAAACTAATTAATATTCAGATGTACAATAAAGCCATCACTATAGGCTTAAATATTTATACTTGGTAATCAGTGTTTGCTACCTTATAGTTGGCTGCTTTCCACCTATCACCTTCTTCTTCTTCCAAATGTCGACAAGGCCGTTTCTCCTTGTGGTGTTTCTTCGAATGCTGGTGACTTCCACTGGTCTCGGCCTCATCCAGTAATAGTTCATATTTGGGGCTATTTTAAAATTAAGGGCCAATTTCACTGATGGGGGAAATTATCTAAGTGTCTTCTCATTCCTACACGTGTTTTTTTTTTTTTTTTTTTTTTTTTTTTAAGTACAGGCGTCCCTTCTAAATGACCAGCAAGATGCCCTGCAAGACACTGAGAACAGTTTTATCTGGTGGTGTTTATGATTATAGAATCCCTACAGCATGGAAGCTGGCCACTGGGCTCATGGAGTCAACACTGACCCTCAAGAACATCCCACCCAAATCCAACTCCTCCCCTATCCCTGCAACCCTGCATTTGCTGTAGCTAATCCACCTAATCTGCAGTCGCCCAAGGCTTGAATCGAGTCCAGTTCCCTGGCACGGTGAGGCATGTCGATGATTGATCTTATCAATTTGCTAGAGTGGGGAGTGTTGAATCCAACAAATTTTGCAATAGTTCTTCAATTAAGTCCATTTTTGAAGTTATATTATTCAAGATTTCATTTTATATCATTGGCAAAAACATTGCAAAGATATTAAGCCATGCCATTAATTCTATTTCTCACTCCTTTCTTGCCATCTGTAACTTTCCAGTTTAAATAATTACTCAACTGTCCTGTTTAAAAGTCTGAGAACTCTCAGTCTAGTGGTATTGCCACTGAACTGTTAATCCAGAGACCCAGGTAATATTGAGGACCAGGGTATGAATCTCACCACAGCAGATGGCAGAATTTGTATTCAATACTTATCTGGAATTAAGTCCGATGATGACCATGAATCCAGTGTCAATTTGTCAGCCTTTAGGGAAGGAAACTTGCATTGTTATGGCCTAGATGTGACTGCATACCCACAGCCATGTGGCTGACTCTTAACTCAGTTCCCCTCTGGATCTTTTGCCAAAGATTTTAAAACTGTGGTCTTCAGATATGGCCAGTCACTAGAAGGAACAGATCTTCTCTATTTACTCTATTACATCACCCTTTATTCTCTGTGGAACAGACAAAATAATCAACGTGTTCTTTACTGACATCCCACATTCCTGGTAACCTTCTCACCAGCCCCTTCTGTATCCTTTCTAAAGCGTGTGTTTCCAAAAATATCCACAATACACCAATTGAGCCCAACTTTAACATGTTTGTGGTTGCTGAACAAGTTCAAGGATACTCCTGTTTAGGTTGAACTTTACTCTTCAAGGTAATGTTGGAATGTTTGCTAAGGTCCTTCTCATACTCTTTGAAATCATCTTTGGTGTATTTTGCACCTGTGAGAAGAAAGGTGAAAGAGGAACCTTTTTTTAAAAAAAAGTTGGTGAACAAGAATGTTTCTAGAACGTAGAATCACAGAATAGTTACAGCAGAGAATATGGCCATCATCGATGCAAGGACAACTCCTCTAGTCCCATTCCCCAAACTAAACCCACCAGCACACAGAGCCTGGCATTTTTTTCTGTTTTTTTTTAAAATCCAATTTATTTGAAACCCACAACTGAACCTGTTACAACTAGACAGTGACATTGGCAGAAAGTTAGCAACTTCTGTATAGATGGGTGACCTTTTAGGTTTGCACTTGTGAAGCAGATGAATATAAAATGCAACTTGAGAACCTACCTTTCCCTTTCCACTGAACCTTTGCTACAGATTGGCTGAAGTCCACATGTATCCTTCTGTCATCTATCAGCACATTATCCATCTTAAAGTAAGCATTTTCACAATGCTCCTGCTGTGAAAAAATACATAATGCAGCAGCTGAAGCAGAGTTTTTCAGGATGGTAATGCCTTCCCTTACAAACCAATCCTGACAAAAATACAGGGCACAAGTTTGGTCGAATAGTGAAACAATTATGATGGATCAGGGCCTCAACGGTGACAGCTTACTCTCAGTAGCAAAAACTCAAGGCTGCTGAATGATATCTCACTGATTCAATAGCATGAGCCTACTGCTCACTAAAACATAGGAATTTTTCAACACTGATAGCAATGAAGTACCACCATCTCATTATCACGATAGCTTGTTACCAAATAATGATAAGTTCATTGTCTCTGTAGCTGATTGCCTTCATAATGGGACAGACTATTGCCCATACGTTGCTGCATCAGTGATATCTCACAGTTCCTGCAACTTGTTGCCCTGAAACAGTAGCTCACTTAACAGACAATAATGTAATGTCCTGACAATAATGCTTGACTGCCCTTCTGACTTGTTGCCCAAATAGCAATAATTCACTGGATTTGCAGCTTTGTTGACTGAACAATGATACCACGGTTCCCTTGCAACTGTGTTGTCCTTGAATTATGGTCTTCATAACATTATTTTACATTCAGAAAATGATATTTCTTTATGGTTTTGATCCAAGCCAGTGGACTTAGTATATGTGGTAAACTGTAATACTGCAATCATCAATCTTGACATTCCTAGTAAAGAATCCCACTTTCATACATGTAGTACATTGAGCTCTAGCACTGGAATGGAGGCAGACAAGTGTTTCTCTGGTTATAGAACTCACCGTGTCACAAATGGTTTGCCCATCTCTATGTTCCACAAAACCTTTAGAAATCACTGATTCTTTTATTGTCTGCCAGTGCAACTTTGTTTGGAGTCCCTCAATTTAATAAGACAGGGACCTGCTCCTTCCATATTTTGGGGAAGGATTCGGACAATCTAAGTTTGAAACCACAAAGATTTTTGAAAAAAATGAAAAGGATGAAGAGTAAATTTGTCCACCACTTGGATATAATGACTTTATACAATCATAGTCCAGCATAAGAGTAAGTCTTTCACTGGACACTGGTGTCAGCCAATGGTAAAGAACTTGTGCAATAAACCAGACTGAAATTTAACTTTGAGCATGTGCTGCAAAATCTTTTAACAGAAACATCAAGCATGACTGGAGAATGAGACCTGTGCAAGGTCACCAAACACTACAGAGAAATTACTAAATTTTGCAACTGACTTGTAATTTTTAAATAAGTGCCTAGAAACATTCTGAAATGAAAGTAAGCTCACAGAACCATTTTCCCATTGGACAGAAGTTTCACTGACCCTTTTATTAATATGAGGACTCCTGGTGTGGACTTCACAGTGAATTAATAACACTGATGAGCAGTCACTATTGTTATGGAAGTAAACACAGCAGCCAAGTTATGCATAACAAGGCCACACAATCAGCTAAGTGAAACGAGTGAATGTTGTATTTGTGATGTGGCAATACTCAGTGAAGGAGGAATTGCTGCCTCTACTTCAAGCAGTGCTTTGAGGTCTTTTACTTCCACATAAATAGAACTAACGACAACTAAACAGTCAGAGTGGCAGAGAAACTACCCATCGCCGTGGAGATAAAAGCATTTTACTGTCACTATGAATGCTAGCTATAAAAAAAGTCCAATTTATTGAAATTATTTTCTATACGCAAAATGACAACTATGCAAATTATTTGGGTCTCTCAAATGTCTGTTTTTGAGCAATGACCATTTATACAGGTTTCACTGTTCCTTATATTTACACAAAGAATGACATCACTTACTTGGAAATTCTCATTTATTTTATTTTAAATAAATTCAGATGTTTGGCCATCTCCTTTCTGGTATTGAATGATACTTGAATTTACTCTTGCTTATATGTTACATTTTGACTGCCACCATGGAAACACAGGGTCAGAATTACTTAGGGAGCTTTTCCCTGACTGCCTGTTTTTCACTGAGGTTGTACTGGCCAGTCACCCCAACACAGTCGGTTCTTCTGGGGTTTCTGCCAACCTGTCACAGTTACAACTATTGGGTGAACTGTCAGCTGATATTTTGATTCAGAACATAAATTAGGTAAATATAAAAATCTATTTGTAATAAAATGTAAATCTAAACATTAAAAACTTTATACTAAAAATTTGTATGACTGTAAAGTTATATTTAAGGAATGCACAGAATATCAACTGCTATTTAACACGTTTTCAGAAGAATGAGAAGTGACTTTACAAAATCTTATAGGATTTCTTAAGGGGCTTGATAGGGTAAATGCTGAGAGGATGTTTCCCCTTGAGAGTGTTGAGGACCAAGATTCATAGTCTCAGAATTAAGGGGTACCAATTTAACACTGAGATTAGGAGGAATTTCTTCTGAGGGTTGAGTTTCTTTTGAACTCCTTGCCATAGAGGGATGTGAGGACAAATTCCTTGTGTACATTTAAGGATGAGAAGTTGATACTTGATCAGTTGGAATCAAGGGTTATGGGGAAAGGGCAGGAAAGTGGACTTGATGAGTGTCGGATCAGCTATGATCCTAGTGAATCATGGAACAGGCTCAAGCTGTCAAACAGCCTACTCCTGTTCTTATTTCTTGTAGTCTTACCTTCTCAAAATCAATGAAGGCATAGCAGAGAGATTCTCCAGTCTTCCAGTCTCTAATTATTTCACAACTGTTGAACAGATATTGGTACAATTCACTTCACTAAGAAAACGTTTAACAAAAGACAGTTTTATTCCTGTATTTACCACTTTTACCTTGCTTATAAACAGTCACTTTCTCATCCTGCCACACATTCATCAAGGGCAAACTGCAGGAAACCAAAAGGCTGCTCAGCCACTTCAGAGGGGAGTTTATCATCAGATTACCTCCTTCCATCAATCTGTTTTCTTTGACTAAAAGTAACTCTTGACCCACACTGATTGATGGTGAGCTCTGCTCTGAAGTGGATTAGCAAGCCACTTCTGTCGAGGATTATAGGGATGGGCAGCAGGTCTTTCACTATCAAGCAATTTAGGGCAAACTATGATTGTGCAACATGCTATATTAGTGCTATTTTTGAATAATGTAACCATACAAATGATCCATCACACTGATGACATTTACTGCATTTGCTACAGAATATCCAACTTGACTTTCTCTCTCTCAGCCACAATATTTAAGTGGCTGTTAGATTAGGATTGATGGGAACTGTCCCCAGGCACTTCAGGACATAATATAGGATTTAGTAAGGGTTATGACACTAAACCAAACTTTCTCGATTATCAATGCCTAGCACATATGCTATATGACTGCTTCATAATCTAAGCTTTTGTGATTGGAGTACATTCATAAGCAAAAGTTCCCACTTCTGAACTTGTGGTAGAAAGGTCATTGATGAAACTTGAATATAACTGGGCTGAAGGTAATACTCTAAGAAACACCAGCAGTAATGGTGTCAGGTTTATACAACTGACAACCATCTTCCCTTGTATCAGACATGACTTCAGTTTCTGGAGAGTCTTCCCCCAAATTCCCACGACTTAAATAGGGCATCAAGGAACCTTAATAAACGGATTTAATTTGTTCAAGGGCAGTCATTTAAAATTTAAATATGAAATTCAACTTGTAGAATGTTTAGACAAGGTTGCAATGGAGCGGAATGACCTTGGTGGAAAGCAGGATATTGATGAGTCAATGTCCTGTGATAATATTGACAACATTTTCTGTTACTTTGCTTTATTGGTGTATTTAAGTGAGTTGGTGATATGGCCAATTATGTAAGTCTCTCTGATCAGGTTCAGTCTTAAAAATAAGTCAGCAAAGTTCCTTTACTCAACAAAGAAGCAAAAAGGTTACTGGCAAACGGTTTGGATTTTGAAAAGATACATGTGTTTCTATCTTTTAAAAAACAAACACTGAAGTCTGAGGAGAAACAAAGAAAATGAAAACTCTGCAGAATATTACTTAAGTAGTACTTTGGCCAAGTAAGAGTTAAACCCATGAAAAATGATAATACATAGGTAGTTCTCAAGAGTGGCTGTGTGCCCAAAGTTATTGTCCATACACAGGTTGCTGGCACTAAAGTATCTTCCTGGAACACTTGTAGCCAGCAGAATTCCCTTTGCTGGAGACAGTGAGGTAGATTACAACAAATTGGACTCCTCCATAAGTAGTAAAGATGACTTCTGATCGATTTTCAGTTCACCACACTTTGTTTAGAGGAATTACAAGCAAGGAATAGGAAGCACTGAGCTGTTGCTCTTTGAAAGGGTCAAATTCTCTTTCACCGAGTTTAAAAATGCAGTCTTATTTCACCCACAAACTAAACTGTGATCCCTCTCGGGTTCTCCAGACCGAATTATTTCATCCAACCTCCATATTCCTCTCAGGTGCAACATTATTGTGTTGTACCCACCTTTTCCTTAATGACCTTTTTGAAAAAGTTCCAAGATATTTTTATATAGACCCCCATGATATTTAAAAAAAATATTTGAGTCAGAACTCATCATACCACTTGATATTTTGCCAGGGTGACTAGGCTGGGTGGGTCTTTGACATGTCCTGGTTTGATACTAGTCACTAGTTAGTGGCCTGTATAGTTTAATCCTTGTCATTTTTGCTATTCATTTAATAGACTGATCGGTTTACTGAACCACTTAAGGAGATAGTTAAGAGTCAACTGATTATCAACATTTTAAGTCCCATTTAAAATACTAACTAGTTCATGTCATAAAATAGTATAATCAACAGATTCACACAAAAGGCACCTGTTTATTCACAAAAGAACTACCTCTTGATTGGTCCAAATCTTGAGAAAATGACCTCCAAGTCTTCATCTGTGGTGACTGGATTGAGTTTACAAACGAACAGCACATTTTCAGGTGGCTTTATTTCTGCATCTGGTAGATCTCCAACCTATAAAAATTAAGACTGGGGTTTCATAAGCAGTTATTCTGGAAAAATAACATATCCATAAATATCTCATAACCATAACAGCATGGTTAAATTTAACTTATACCAATAAATGGATTAAACAGTGGGGTTTTTTCAAAGCAATATCATTCTCATCTACCTCTTCTAGTGACTTAGCATAAATCAAACTTTTTTAATGTACCATATGGTACAACTTGGTGAATTTTGTATCTCATGACATTCCCCTTTTTCCTTCAAGATCATTGTTAAAACTCAATTTGTGACTAATCTTTTGATCACCCCCTCCTGACATTTCCTTCCTTGGTCAGCATTCACAGGCACCCCGGTATATATGTAAAGTCACTAACCTGGATGTTTTGATTTCATTCTTTTTCGTACATGTTTTTCATATGTCCTTCTGATGAATGTATGTTCAGTGCCTTCTACAGGTACAAGATCTTCACATTTTCTAAGACTATTCCCCATATTTAATATATATTAATTAAATTCTATTTTAAAGATCAATAAATACAAGCCTTGCTTGCATCTTGTGTTCGTTTGTCAAACGTAAACAGCTTACATACAGGAAATTTGCTTAATAGTGCAGCTTTAAAATATTTTACATACTTTTAGCTGATAGTCATTGTTGCTTAAAATAAGTTACACTTCTCAAAATTGAGTATAGTAACAAAACAAAAATAATACCCATATAAATGATCTTTTAGAAAATATAGTGAAGTAGCATGGAAAAATTCTTCCAGTTTAAAAGAAGATGTCTACAGAAGTTTGACCATTTCCTTTCATGTGTATAACCATGAACATAAAAGCCATCGACAGACCATTCAGTCCCTCTAGTTTATTCTGCTATTATACGACAATTAATATGTCGGAGTTTGACAGACTTTAGTCAACAAGAGAATCTACGGGTAAGATGATAGATTGGGAAGGAGGAGATGATGTAGAAATTCAGCCATTATCTTGCTGAATGACACAGCGGGATCATGAAGATGGTCGGTGAATGAAGGGCAGCAGATGTTGTTTACATGTATTTGACCGTTTTACAAGGTTCCTCATGATAGCCTGGTCCAGAAGTTTACATCACATAGGATCCAGTGAGCTGGTAAGTTGGATACAAAATTGGCTTGGTCCTTGAAGATAAGAGGGTAGTGTTTTATGATTGGAGGTCTGTGACCATTGGTGGTCCACAGGGATCAGTGTTGGGACCTCTTGTTTGTAAGACACATAAATGATTTGGATAAAAATGTAGGTGGTCTGATTAGTAAGTTTGCAGACAGCACAAAATTTGGTGGAGTTGTGGATAGTGAGGAAGGTTGTCAAAGGATACAGCAGGATATAGATTAGAAACATGGGCAGAGAAATTGCAGATGGAGCTTAATCTGGACAAGTGTGAGGTGATGAGTTTTGGAATGTCAAATGCAAGATGAAAATACACAGTAAACTACAGGACCCTAAGGAGCATTTATATACAGCAGAATCTTGGGGATAAGTCCACAGCTCCCTGAAAATGGCAACACAGTGGATAAGGTGGTAGAAGTGGCGTATAGCACACTTGCCTTCAACGCTCGGAGCACTGAGTATAAGTTTTCATCATGTTGCAGCTGTATAAGACTTTAGTTAGGCCACGTTTGGAGTTTTGTGTACAGTTCTCGTCACCACATGTAGGAAGGTGGTGGATGATCTGGAGGCAGTCCAAAAGACGTTTACCAGAATGTTGCCTGGATTGGAATGTATTAGCTTATAAAGAGAGGTTGGACAAACTTAGATCGTTTTCACTAGAGCATTGGAGGCTGATGGGTGACCCGATAAAGTGTATAAAATTATGACACGTATGGATAGGGCAGACAATCAAAGTCTTTTTCCCAGGATGGAAATGTCAAATACTAGGGGGGCATAGGTTTAAGGTGAGAGGAGAAAAGTTTAAAAGGAGATGTGTGAGGCAAATTTTCTTCTACACCGAGGATGGTAGATGCCTGGATCAAGCTGCCAGCAGAGAAGCAGCAGATAGGACATCAATATTTAAGAGGAATTTCAACATACACAAACAGGCAGGGAATAAGGAATATGGACCATGAGCAGGCAGATTGGATTAGTTTAGAATGGCATCTTGACTGACAGAGACATTGTTGGCTGAAGTGCCTGTTCCTGTGCTGTACTGTAGTTCTACGATCCCACTCTTATTTCTTATGTTTTTTTTGATTTGATTTATTATTGTCACATGTACCTAGTTTCTTGTGTATCTTTAACTTCATTTAACTATCTTGTTTTTGTAATCCTTAGAATATTTGCCAGACAAAAATTTATTAATTTTAACAGCTATTTTGGGGAAATATTCCAGATTTCTAATATCTTTGTGAAAAGCGCTTATTTACTGGCTTCAACATGAATGGTCCAAATCTAACTTTAAGGTTATGTCCTTGGTTCTTCATGTCCCAGAAGAGAAAGGAGTTTCTACCCAATCAAATCATTTAGTCACTTTGAACACTTGGATTAATCACTCGTTAATCTGCATATACAGAAGAAAGGCTATGTTAACACTCTAAACCCCACCATCATTCTGCTGAATCTTCACTGCACCATCTCGGGCCAATAAATCCCACCAGAATATTGAGTGTCAAGTAGGGCTTAAGTGAAAACATGGCAATACTCATCTATCACATGACGTTCACATATTCTGTATTGTCTAATGCCAATATTAGTGTTTCTATCAAGTAGTTTGGCAGTATATTCCAAACTAAAGTATTCACTGAGCAGGGGAGGAAAAAAGCTACTTCTTGCGATCTGTTCCAAACTTAAGTTTAATGAATTTCCAGTAATTTCTCTGACCCTAGTTTATTGGTTCTTTTTTAAAAAAAAGAACCTTGAATCACATCTATACTGATTAAAATGCTCAAATCCTCTAAGATATCCCACTATACTGAAACCCTTTACACTATTATTAATTAAGATCATTTCTGCAACATTTCTAATGACTGGCATTGATAATATTCTAACTGTGAGCTGACAATGCATCACAAAATATTAGCATAGAATCCAGAATCTGTACAGCGGCTAACATTCAGTTAGCCTTTTTACTAGTGTTTCGATGAAATGCCTACCATCATTCCCTACATTCTGTCCTAATTGAGTTCCACTTTTGCCTCAGTTAGAACATTTAGTTCATGATCCATTCGAGAGACCCAAGTACAAGGCTAATGCTTCAGTGCTGCACTGAGGAAATGTTACACTGTCAATAGTATCTCTTTCTATTTACAGATGCGTCCCTGAGTGAAGGATTCAATGGTTCTATTTTGAAAAATTAGAAAAGCATTTTCTTCAGTATCCTGACCAAGAGTTATCCTCCAGCAATACAATTAACACAGATTATATGGCCAGTAACTCTGCTTTTTAATGGGTTCTACCAGTGTGGAAATTTCCTACACTTTAACAACAAATACGCTTTGTTCACTGACTGTAAAGCACTTTAAAATGTCCTGGGTTTGTGTGAAAGGCACCACATAACTGCAGGTCTTGTTTCTATATTTTTCAATCTGAATTTCACATTTATGAGTATTAAATGTCACCTATTATCCATCTATCAACTGCATAATTGATCTCAATTTTCCTATGCATCTTTTGGTTCATGTGACCTTCAGTGTTCTCAGATGCTCTCACAGCAACATCACACTGCTGCCAAGACAAAATACTTCTCTAGTCAATTCTGGTAGGTGAATAACAACGGGGAGAATAAATATTTGTCTTCACATCTGTTGGTTAGAAAGCATTGAATAGTTTGGAACGCATTGCCTGTACTTCCCAAAACAAATTAAAGCTCTTTAAAAAGTTTGTGATTAGTTTCTTTACCATTTCCAGCAATATTGCTTTGGTTTTTGCTTCTTTCTCTGCTAGCACCTCTTCAATTTCCTCTGCAGTTTTTCCTTTGGTATCATCTATTTCTTCATCAGCTCCTATTCTGCCACTCTAAACAAAATTGTATTAAAAAAATTTAATCAAGAGTATTGTTAGCACTGAAGAATACTGAAAGCATGCAAGAATACACACTTTTCTCTATACCAGGCAGTTTTAGCTCCAACATTAGGACATGATCTAACCTGAGCACTTTCAGTAATGTGCTGATTAAAAATGATGTTCCATACTTGTTTAACATGTTTTAACTTAACCCTATCCATAAATCATGCTCATTTTTGCTTCTAGTACATTTATTTCATATTTGTGTCTGCACTGCAATTCATACAGACCTACAAATTAGAAATGTAGGCCATTTGATTTCATTTTCATCCTTTTTCTTACCTCCTCCTCCCAGCTTTAGCATTATCTTTGAATGTAATCAATGTGTATTGTTTCTGAGGCAATGAAATGGATTAAGAACAGAGAAAATTACATATTCTAACCAAATGAATAATGCTCAAAATTCTTCCAGAAGCACCAATATAAACAATTATTTACTACGGCCATGCTAAATTACCCACAGAGTTCAGGAATGTGTAGGCTCGGTGCATTAGCTATGGGAAATGCAGAGTTACAGGGATAGGGTAGGGTAGGGTAGGGGGATGGGTCTGGATGGGATGCTTTTCGGAGGGTCAGTGTGGACTTGTTGGGCCGAATGGCCAGTTTCCACACTAAGAATTTTATGATTCAATAAAAGGTGATTAGGTAATCTTCATTACCCCACCTCATCAGGCCTGTAGCACTAGAAGCCTTGCCATGCTTCTCAGAATGGTCTTGATATGGGCAAAATCTATTTGCCGAGATGCATTAATCATTCTCATCAGGTCAGTTTAAGGTTACTCCTCCTCCATGAATCTCAAATCAAACAAAGGTCGTTCCCTGCATATCTTTAGAACACTTCTGTTTGGAGTTTTCCTTTAAATTAAAATGATTCCAATAATATAGTTTGTGCTACAAAGGTAACAGAATTCTAATAACTGGTGAAGTTAGTATCAAGACTGACTAAGGTGTCAAGTAAAAAATTTCAGATCACTGTCATGTAAAAATGGAACACGTTCACTGGAAAGAAGAAGAAAGGCCAAAAGGCGATTTGATTGCTTTTAGGATTTTAAAGGGACTGGATACTATCAACCATGACAAACTATTTCACTTTGTCCAGAACAGTACAACTGAGAACACTGGGTCTGCTTGAATGGAATCAATTCAAAGTAATCTGTGGAAACCTTACTTCAGTGAGCAATTGTTCAAACTATAGAACAGGACCCTTAGTCAAATAGTTAGCATTCGTTAATTTAAATGTAAATTTCATAATTTTTGACATTTGACATATAGATAATTTGAAACATGACACGGTAAGTGTGTGCGCTTGGGAGGAAGAGTGACCTTTGATGGCTTCCAAAGCTCTTCACCATTGGGTGAATCATCTTCCATTCAAGTCTGCTTTAGACTAATTGATTGCTATAATTCGTCAACAACTCCACTCTTCACGTGTAATGTGATAAAACACAAACTAGATGAGCATTTTTCTTTTTGATACAGCAATTCTTCCTCTTATGTAATGCTTCCATAAATTAGAAAAAAGTATCATTCAGCATCTTGGACTGTTTCATCGCAACCTCTTCTCATTTGCAAATAACTCTACAATAAAACGAGTACATTACTTTTGATGATTTGCAAAGGTCAGAGCAACTGAGCCACCACAGGGCAGTTTGTAACATTCAATATAAATGTACACACACATATTAAATGGAAGTTACTCTAATTTGTAATCTTGTTTTTAAGACTTTTGGAAGTTTAACTTTCAAAGAATTAAAAAAGCCAAAATATTCAAAGACTATTGAAAACACAGTCGTGCTGACAGAAGTAACAATAACTTACTGAAAATTATCTACATGCACATAGAATTAAATTATGTCCATTGTTATAATGGAAAATGTCTGTGTAAATATACCACTTAATCTTGTTAACTAGAACAAGCACTGAGTACCACTGAAAGTTAGGGTCATGGTAATGTCACTGGAGTAGTAATCAAGGAATCCAACTTATGCTATATGGATATAGGTACTAGTCCCACCACAGCAGGTGGAAGACTTTGAATTCAATTAATAATTCTAGAATTGAAAGCCAGTCTCAGTAAGGGTGACCAGAAAACAACCATTCATATTTTTTTTTAAGACTATCTGCTTCACTAATGTCCTTCAGAGAAGAAAGTCTGTTGTCCTTGCATGGTATAGCCTAGCAAAGGCAATAAATGCTGGTCTGGAAAGAAAAGGAAATAGAAGTTTGGCAATTTTATAAATGCAGCCTCGCAAATATAGAAGTGGGGATTTATTATAAAAATACAAAATTAAGGATATTAAAAGGGTTGTTGGTGTCCTGAAACAATTATCCTACACCTTCTAAACTCATCTGAGCACCACATGATCTGCAGTTTATTTGCCATGTGACATCAATGTCTATTATACGTGTATGCTCAAATATTCAGGCCACATAGAACATAGGTCAGTTGAAAAGGATGCATAAATATATTTCTTCCGAGGTCAATGGATGCAGAACATGTTTCAGTAAATACTCACATCAAGCTGTTCTTTGGTGGGTTCTGGTGAGCGATCCGGGATTTGCAAACCTGGGGGATCATCAAATGGATCCTCCAGTATTACTGTATGGGTTATCCTAATATTAAAGAGACATTTACTTTAAAAACATAAAAACTTGAAAGACTGAATTCACAGAACAGGAATCAGATATTTCTTATATAACAGTATAAGTGGACATCATGTCAGTTAATCATTAGAGCTTCATATTTTAGAACAAAACCTCAAATGATAATTACTGTTACTTGAACAGTTTCTATGTGCTCATTTTAAAAACAAATAATAGGTTGTTGAACACAGCATAATTCAATGACAATGTGTCATGAAACTACCCAGTGCTTCTTGGAACGGTGATGGATCTTGGTAGTCAGTCACCAGACATATTCACAAGAGGTGAAGTAAAAATTAAAATGAAACTAAAATTATGTTTTTTCCTGTAACCCACAATATACAAATCAAAATTAAAGCTACACGAGATTCTGTCTTTTTTGGAACCCAAGTTTCCAAATGATAAGATTAATACTATACCATTCATACTGTTCACCTCGCATTAATTCAAGTGTTTTATTTAATAGCTAAAAGGTACAACATATCTCTCTTTGTAAATAAAAACTAGATATTGTCAATGTGTCATTTGTTACACATTTTTTATCTATATAATTTAGAAGCACAGACCTGATATCTTGATATGGACAGAAATCCTTGTCAACAAAGGCCTCATTGATCTTCACCAGGACATCCATGCCTTCAGTCACCTCACCAAATACTGTGTGTACACCATCAAGGTAATCCACGTTCTCTCCTACAGTGATCAAAAACTGGATGGAGTCGGAGGGGAATAAGAACAACAGTTGGATGAGAAAGAGAAACAAAAATAGAAATAAGTGAATTTGAAAAGTTAGATGACTTTACTTGTCTTAATTCTCCCCGTTATACACCATGGACACAAAAGCCACATTGAACTGGTTCTAGAAAAACTATGTGCTGATCACATACTAGGATTACTATCACAATGCCAGGTTGGATTGTGGCATCTGTTTCCTGCTGAGGACCTACATCACAAAAACAATTTACACCCTCAAACTAATATCTGTTAACATCACCTTAAACCATATAAGCAAACTAAACAAACCAGGTGGTGGACTCCAGCAAACGGAGGGAGCCTAAATTATGCTTTCTGAATTCTGAAGATCTTATAAAACATGTAACCTTTCTTCATCATTCATGTCCTTCTCACATATTGTGCGTTTGTCAAGAGTTCACATGGTCTAGTGTGGATGAGGATAGCCATCTGATTTATAGGTCTAACTAAAAGAATCCTTTGTAAACATGATATAATATTGTATCTTTGCAACTATTTATATGTTACAAGGACATGGTATACATTATTACAGATACTTTCAGGAGGACTTGGTCTTAAGTATGACTCCCTCAGAACCATTAGTTATTCTTATCCAGTTCCTCATGACATCACAGTGACTAGTGCTTATAGCACTCTCAGTATTAACCCTTTCAGACTTGAATCCAAGAACACAGAATGAATTGAAAGAAGACAGCTGTAAAATTAAGAGCTCCAAACCATACAACCAGGAAGGTTTTAAACAAAGGTGCAGCAGCAAAATATATAAGGTCTAAATTAATTGCAAACACTTCACACTGCTTTCTTATAGATACTGTCAACAGAAAGCCAGGAAGCAGCTGTTTGAAAACATTGTAATGACCAATGATCAAGACTGACCATAGTTTCAAATAGTTAATGAAACACAGTAAGTGTGCTTTACACCACTTTTCTTGCATTACCTACTCTAAGATGGGTCTCAAACTGACATGGGACATAGGCTTTATACTGTGAGCTATGAGATAGGAAGTGCAGAAGAGATGCGTGTTATAGGCAGAGTACTATAGTCAGAGGAAAACAATCACAGAACACAATCCCCAAAATATTAGGGAAAAAAATGCAGATCCTATTTGGAAATGTGCTGAGCCCGGTGGGGGATTCCTGAACTGATTCAATACCTGAAACAATGGGGCAACAGCAACCTACAGAGAAATAAACAGATAGATTGAAGGACTCAAATATGTGACTACAGAGAACATCCTGTCAATTCTTGCAACTTCAGTTGTTTTTAGGTTTGGATTGCCATGCGTTTTGAATTTATAGGCAGTTTGAATACATATCATGGATCCTTGAGGGTTACACTTAGAGTCTTAATGGATGCTAATCAAAACCAAAACAACCTTAGCCTTAATTGAAGACTCACCCACAAGTGAGGCAAAGTCCCAGAAACAACAAAGATGTGACAATAGGCAGACAAATTACTGGTTTACTATCTTACCTGGAGTGTAGAAGCTTCCTACAATATAGCTTCTCAGAGTCTTACTGATGTCAGGTTAAATTATGTGCTCAAGTCCTGGAGTGCAGTATGACTTAAGAAGTGAGGGTGCTGTATAAGCTTTGCTAACATCACCAGCCCAATACTGTCTCAGAAATATTAACCCTACAGAGCAGAAATGACACGACTACCCAAATCAATTTTATTCATTCCCTTATGTTGAGAAGTTGGAAAAGAAATGTGTTACTCCCATATTTCTTTTCCAACTTCTCAACAAAAGGAAATGGATAAAAATGATGCAGGTAAATTGTGTCATTATAAAGTGACCTTATAAAACTGATCCACTGTGACTAGTGATGTACCAGAAAGTTTGGTACTGGGTCCAGTATGGTTTGTCATTTATGTAAACAATTTGGATGAGAATATAGGAGGCATGGATAAGTTTGCTGATGACACTAGAATTAGTGGTACAGTGGACAATGAAGAAGTTTAAGAGTACAACGGGATGTTGATGAACTGGGTAGCGTGCCAAGGAACAGCAGATGGGGTTTAATTGAGATAAATATGAGATATTTGTTTTTGGTAAGACACATCAGGGCAGGACTTACATAGTTAACGGTGGCATCAGAGGGAGACAGGTTGGTGACGAAGGCATTTGGCAGGCTTTCTTTCTTTGACCACAGCACTGAGTACAGGAGTTGGGACGTCATGTTACAGCTATACAAGACATTGGTAAGACCACATTTGGAATATGTATACAATTCTGGTTTACCTGCTATAGGAAGGACATTATTAAACTATTAAAAGATTTACAAGGATGTTGCTGAGACTGGAAGGTTCGAGTTATAAGCAGAGCCTGGATAGGCTGGGACTCTTTGCTCTTGAGCACTGGAGGCCAGCAAGGGGTGGGGGGGGGGCGTCCAAAGGGGGCATAGGTTTAATGCGAGACAGGAAAGATTTACAAGGGACGTGAGGGGCAACTTTTTCACACAACGGATGGTGCATCTACAGAACAAACTGCCAGAGGAAGTGGTAGAGGCAGGTACATATACAACATTTAAAAGACATTTGGACAGGTACATGGATAGGGAAGGCTTAAATGGGTATGGGCAAAACACCGGGAAACCTGGTTGGGATGGATGATTTCAGCCAAAGGACCTGTTTCCGTGCTGTATACCTCTACGACTCTAAATGAACAAAATGCAAGTTTCTTGGCAACCTCACTGTGCTGTAAATTAATTATTTCAGGAGTAAAAATAGCACTTTCTGGCAATCAGTCTGTACCATTCAATTTAGATGCAACAAAACAAAATGTCAGTGACCTGCTGTGTCAGTTCTGTCAAGCATTTGGAGACTTAGGCTGGGAAGTCAATCAGTTGACTGGGGAATGGGGACATGCCACAGTAGACCTAACACCTCAACCAACCCCAAAAACCAAATTGTTATGGCAAGCTCACGCGCAGATGGGTCTGACACCAGAATGAAAAACCTAAGATTGAATGAAGTCATTAAACCTAAAGAAAATGTGAAAATCATTAGGAATTTTTTGAACAAAATTCAGCTTTGATTCTAATTCTTTGCACTAGCTATATATTTTTAAAAATTTCAACCTTTCACTTCATTGTATTACAATTATTAATTTAGCCAAATTATTTTTAAACTTGATAAAAGCTCATATCATTAAAAATAATCAAAGTAAAAGTGTGTTTGTGTACAGAAGGACCCATTTCTTTCTCTTTGTAACAAAAAAAAATGACCACAATCTAGTCATAAGTTTAGGCCAAAGTTAAAGTATTTTTATCTTCTCCCCAGTAATCATAATACAGTTTAACCACATACAGCTGTGTGCCTGTGTGGTTTGGATGATGCACAGCTATATCAGTGACAGAAAGAAAACACAAACATAACAAATTAAGTATATGTATAAATTTGGGCAATTATATATTTAGAACTTAAGATCATAGGCTCCATACCAATATCCCTTGTTACTGACACTTCAATTTTAATCAAGAATGCATGGGAAGTGCTTTCTTCTCTCAGCCATTTGTTCATAAAGGCATTACGTTACCAGCTTGTGTTACAAACTTACTCAACAAATAAGACTGAATCAGAGTCTGAATTGAATTTGATGAGTCACCAATCACTTTCTATACTGACTGATAACCATCGGCATAGTTAAGTGGGCAGGAAGCTTAGAGATCAGGTCTTAAGGTAACAAGGGACATTTACAGACATATACGTGCATCATATTTATGGCCTTCTCATTTCTTAAATAGTTTGTGGTTAGACTAAAATTCACCAAAAAGGGAACATCACAATGAGAGGACTTCACTGATAAAGTATTGCCATAATAAGTAAGATTTCCTTGACTTATCCAATTTGTAAATATGGTGAAATTATTCCTTGAAAATGAATGATTATATTATTAGACACATACATACCCGTAAACAAGTGCACATCAAAAACACAGGTGCTGAGTGTCAACCAACCTGAGATGCATGTTGATCATTGCCATTATTCACCATGGATACAGTTCCTTTTCTCTTATGTTTAATTCGGGGTACTTTTTCTGCCTCAAAAAATCTTGCCTGATCTCCATAGAGCTTACTGTGGGAAAAGGAAAACAAAATGTTCATCACAACTGGCAAAACAACTTCAAAATCAGCTGTACTGGAGCAGACAAAAAGGGTACATCCCTAGGATGCTTGGCATGCTTGCCTTCATTGATCAGAACATTGAGTATATGAGTTGTGGCTGTACAGGACATTGGTGGTGCCAGTTTTAGAATACTGCGTAAAATTCTGGTTGCTGTTCTATGGGAAAGATGTTGTTAAATTTGAGAGGGTGCAAAAAAGATTTAGTAGGATGTTGCCAGGACTGGAGGATTCCAGTTATAGGGAGACGCTGAAAAAGCTGGGGCTTTTTTTCCCTGCAGCTTCAGAGGCTAAAGATTGACAGTATAGAGGTTTATAAAATCACGAGGGACATGGATAGGGTGAATAACCAAGGTCTTTTTCCTAGAGTGGGGGAGTCCAAAACTAGAGGGCATAGGTTTAAGATGAGAAGGAAAAACTTAAGGAGGACTGCAGGTGTAACTATTTCCACGCAGAAGTGGAGCATCTATGGAACAAGCTGCCAGTGGTGGTGGTGGAAGTGGGTAAAATCACAACATTTAAAAGGCATCTGGATTGGTATATCAATAGGAAGGGTTTTAGAGGGATATAGGTCAGATTGAGACATCTGGTCGGCGCAGACGAGTTGGACCAAAGGGTCCGTCTCTCTGCTACCTCTATGACTGGATGACTCCAACAGTCATTGAATCATATGTTTTTCTCAAGCAATGATAAACCACAAGGAAAATAAGCAGTGCAACCTATGAGCTTCTCTGGCAAAGACACATTTGGTCCAGGAAAAATTCAATTTTCAACCCACCAATTAGAAAACTGAATTAGGGAGATGTAGGATGAACAATACTACTGCTAGTAATATTGAACCCAGAAAGAGGCAGAAAGCAGAAAAGGGTGAATAAAAGGCTCAGAACAACATGAGATTGAACGTCAAGTTAAAATGACCCACAGCAGAATAGATAATGATCAGATAAAGTACAGCATCAAGCAGATGAGGCTAAACTGCCAACATGACCAATTATGTAAAATCATTCTCATTTCTGGATTTAAAGAGGTCAAAGGTTTACAATAGAAATGTTAATTTAACTCTGGTGCAACAAAGATGCCTTCTGGTCACCCCTTTCCGGTGGACATAAAAGAACTCTATTTTGAATAAGAGAACATAGGTTTTTGCTGTGTCCTAGCCAATGCTTTTCCTATGAAGATAGATTAAATCCGAATTACTGAGATAACGCACACTTTCAGATCCAAATTGTTGCCTGGAGCTATGGACAGTGATGGTGGAGACGTGATTTCTTTCTGTTGCGTACTAGTCTGAATTCTCTCTCACTTTTTAAACTGCCTGACATTAGCATATGTTGGTGGGATTTGCAAGGTCATACTCAACCTGATGGGCCACATTATGAAAGCACATTCCTTGGCTATTAACAAACTCTTGGATAAAGTGCTCGAATCAGGCTTCTGGCTCAGAGCCAGGGGTGCTACCAATGTGGCCAGAAAACTCCTTTAACATTTAGTCAAACGCATTAATTTTTCAGGGGACTGTGGATTGCGATTACATTTTAAATTAATAAAATGTATCTGCTGAATGCACAATTTATGATTTTTAAAAAATGTAATGGCCCCTGAAATCCAATTGCATTCAGTTTTTAGTGTGTATGAAGGACACACTGGAGATTATTACTAAAGAACAGCTGTAACTGCATTCATTTCCACTGGTCCTGTGGTGTGGATCTTGCTTAGAGTTTGGTATTGGTTTTGGGGTATTTGATACAGGTAATGGGAAACTGGACATGAAATAACAATAGTTGGTATAGGATAAAAAGGGAGATCCAGGGTTTCTCATGTTATAAAACCAAAATGTTACTGGAAGTCAGTACAACTTTCCTACAGGTGGAAGAGGTATCCTTGACTGATTTACAGGATAACAGAATTCGCAAAGGAATTAAAAAGCTAGAATTTTCTGTAAAAGCTAAGAATGCAGAGATAATTGAGATAATAGCACTGCATTTGGGAAATATCAGAGGAATCAGGGACATCAAGGCATGAATCAACCAACTTAGCGAGAATTCAAAACTAGTTAAAGCAGCTCAAACATGAAAAAGAAACAAAGCAGTATGAAATAAAGTTGATGGAACTTGAGCAAACAGCAAGTATGTTTTATGCAAGAGAAAGGAGATCTAAGTTGATAACAGTGAAGCTGTTCGCTTTGGTAGGAAAAGCTGTCAGCAGAATATTATTTAAATTGTGCTGGATTGTGAAATATTGATGTACAAAGGGAACCGGGCATCCTTGCACACTCGTCACTGAAAGCAAGCATACAGGTGCAGCAAACAGGTATGAAGGCAAATGGTATGTTGGCCTTCATTCCAATACGGTTTGAGTACAGGGCCTTGATGAGACCATATCTTAAGTGTGCAGTTTTGGTTTCTTGACCTAAGAAAAATAACTGCTACTGCAGGAGGTGCAAAGTTTTACTAGACCAATTCCTGGGTTGGTAGATTTGGCGAAATTGGGTCAACTGGGTCTGGATTCAGTGGAGTTTAAAAGCATTGGAAGGGGTCTCATTAAATGTATAAAATTCTCACAGGACTCAACAGACTGGACAAAAGAGTGATGATTCACCTGGCCAGAGCTCGAGAATAACATCTCAAGATATAGGGTAGGCCATTTCAGACTGAGATGAGGAGAAATTACTTCACTCAGAGTGGTGAAACTGTGGAATTCTTTCCAACAGAAGGTTGTGGAAGCAGATTTCTAGAGGCCAAAAGAGTCAAGGGATGTGGGGAAAGATTGGGACTATGGCAGAGATCAACCTTGATCATGTCGAATGGCAGAGCGGGCTTGATGACCTGAATGGTCCAATCCTCTCCTATTTTCTATGTTTCTATTACAGGAAAAGATAATACTAGCTTTCAAGGCTTCAGATTTTAAAAAATCTCAGACAAAGAAGGGGATTATGATGAGGAAAAACCTGAACCCAACCTAAAGTCCAGAAAGTAGATGTTTAAATTTGAACGTGCCATCTTAAAAATTGAAGAAAAAGGGGGTGGAGGCATTCTTCATTCATTTGAGGAAGTAGCCAAACAAAGTGACCAAGGGAACACTCGACACTGCTCATGCAGGTGAGCAGGCAGAACTCATGAGATGTATGCATCACTCCCAGAAGAAATTTATATGGATTATTAGGCAGTAAAGAATGACTATTCATGATCTGTACAGGCAAACATTTTGAACCAGAAGGTAAATAACTGGCACTGAATTTGAAATGGTAAAGCAGAGTCATTTTGACGGATAGATATGGGCATTAGAAGTAAATGCCTCTCATGCCAGTATATTATTTCTTAAATATAGGGACTAAAACAATTGTAACAAGACTTCACTTCTATTAAACTCCGTCCCCTAGCAATAAAGGCCAAAATGCAATTTGTCTTAATTACATGCTATTCTTGCACGCTAATGTTTGTGTTTCATGCACAAGAACACCCAGATCCCTCTATGCTGCACTTTTTGTGGAGTTTTGTTCCATTTAATTAGTCTACCTTTTGATTCTTCCAACTGAAGTAGATATTCCTACTTCTCACTTTCCTGCATTAAATTCCATCTGCCATGTTTTTGCCCACTCACTTAACCTATCTATATCCCCTTTCAGATTCCTTAGGCCCCCATCTCAACATGCCCTCACACCTCTTTTTGTATCATCAGCATATTTAGATACATTACACCCTGTCCCCTCCTCCAAATCATTAATATTGATCCTTGTGGCATTTCACTAGTCTTTCGTATCTAACAAACGCCCATTAATCTCAACTCTGACTTCAAAGAATCCCTACAGTGTGAAAGCAGATTATTCAGCCCATCGAGTCCACACCGACCCTCCAAAGAGCATCCCAACCTGACCCACCCCAGCCCTGTAACCCTGCATTTTCCATAGCTAATCCACCCAGCCTGAACATCCCTGGATGCTATGGACAATTTAGCATGGCCAATCTATCTGACCTTCACATCTATGGACCGTGGGAGAAAACCCACGAGGAGAATATGCCAACTCTGCACAGACAGTTGCCCAAGGCTATTAGGAAAGACAAATTTTCCTCCAGAGTGCAATGAAAGCCAAATTTTTACAAATAGAATTAATGAAGAGTATACGTCTGTTCCTTCCAAAACAATGACAAGGGCTGTTCAAAAATGACCTGTAGCTAGGATCAATTTACTCCAACATAATAATGCGGGAGCAACAAAAGTTGGAGCTACTCTGATAAACACAAAGTCTAAGTGAACTTAAAGAGACAGAACAGTTTGCAAGCTTCAGGTACATTTCCTTCATGTGACCAGAACAATGTCTAAGCATAGCCCGTCATATGCCCCACTCAACCATTACCATCAAGCCCGGGGATCAACCCTGGTTCAATGGAGAGTGCAGGAGGGCATGCCAGAAGCAGCACCAATACTGAAGACTTGTGCTCCTGAACTTGCCACTCCCCTATCCAAGCTGTTACAACACTGGTATCTACCCGAAAATATGGAAAATTGCCCAAATAAGTCCTGTACACAAAAAGCAGGACAAATCCAACCCAGGT